GTATTGGGACGGATTCATATTGCCAATAGATAAGGAAGATGAGGTGAACTTACTCAGTTTCTGCGGGCAGGAACGTACCATGTGACCAGCTTCACCGCAATAGAGACACAGGTTCTGGGAGCGTCTGCGCTGGCGTTCCTCTGGCGGTAGTTTAGGCCGTGCCAGGCCTAGCTGCATGGGTTCGGGAGCATCTTCAGACGGCAGGTTCTGGAAGTTTGGCCTAGTATTTTGACTGGCTCCTTGGAATGACCCCCAGGTATTTCCGCGACCCTGACCAGACCTCTCCAATCTGCGCTCCCGTAGCCTACGGTCAATTTTAATGGTGAGTGCAATCAAGTCCTCTAATGTCTCAGGCACCTCCACCCGGGCGAGCTCGTCTTTCAGAGCCTCAGATAGGCCCATACGGAACTGGTGCAAAAGCGCAAACTCGTTCCAGCGAGTGTCTCCCATCCAACGCCTAAAGTCAGAGGCGTATTCCTCAGCCGCTCGCCGACCTTGTCGGAGTGCGTATAATGTGGCCTCGGCCGAGGCCGCCCGTTGTGGATCATCGTATAAGATGGCCATAGCATTAAAAAAGTTGTCAACCGTCACCAGATGGGGGTCATTATTTCCCCTTAGTCGGTGGGCCCAGTCTTGGGGTTACCCCTGCAACAGGGAGATAACAAACCCCACTTTCACCGATTCTGTCAAAAAAGTCTGTGGTTGTAGTTCAAAATAGAGCAGACAGGAGTCACGGAATGACCGGAAGCGTGTGCGATTCCCGTGGAAGCGCTCAGGTAGGGGTACTCGGGGTTCCACTATAGGGAGTGATGCGGAAGGCCCAGGACCCGGCTCCTGGGCTGCTGCGACCGGGGGTGCAGGAGCCGGGGCCTGTGAAACAGGAACAGATATGGTGCAGGCCTGAAACCGATTCTCAATCTGCAAACATCTGTCCTGCAAAGTGTTTACTGCTTGCGTCAGGGTAGCCAGGTGCCTGCAAACCTCCTCCATCGGGGAGGGTCCTCCTCGTGGCTCAGTCATGGCCTTCTGGTACTGTGAGGGACCGCCGAGCGGCACCACTAGCACTCCACTGGTCAGGTGTGCCCAGAGCGCGGAGTCTAAGCCCCAGGGTACTTGTTCACCAGAGCCCCTGATGGTGGGGATGGACTTGTAGTACCCCGGGACCAGGTCGCCACTACTGAGCACACCTGTCAGTGGTAGGGGTGTTCGCCAGGGGCTCCAACCAGGGAGAGCCAGATGTGAGGAGGTCGGGTGACCCCGATGGGATGGATGGATGGGTGGCTGAGCAAGTGCGAAGTCAGACAGGCCGAGTTGGTAACGTAGAGGACGGTAAGGTACAAGGGAGCGGGCAGAGAATCGTCGGGTCACACGCCAGGTCAGCAACAGTAGGTCAAATCTAATGAGGGGCATCCAGGAAGAGAGGTCAGGCAAAGCAAGGGTCTGGGCAGGAGAAATCAGCAGGTCAAGAACAATCCGGGTCAAATAACTTACTAGGCACAGGTTCAGATACACAGGGAACAGGTAAGACCAGAAGGCACCGAAATGACAGCTCAGGGACATTTAAATATCCCGCCTTGCGCTGCCATTGGTGCCCAGCGGGCGGCCGCGGCTTCTACTGCGCATGCGCGAACTCGAACGCCGCGGCCCGGACCTAGTGCCCGTGTCCCTGCACAGGGCGGTGCAGTGCGCCTGCGCCGGGACAATCGCGGCGGGGATCGAGGGGATCCCTGACAGTTCTGCTGGCTGGTATGATGATTGATGGCCTGATTAAAGGCTGGTCTGCTGGCTGGTCTGATTGATGGCCTGCTTAAAAGGCTAGTCTGCTTGAAGACAGATTAACGGCAGGTTATCTGAGTGGCAGTTCAGATTAACGGTAGGTCAGCTCAACGGCAGTTCAGCTCAAACAAGGCAGTTCAGCTCAATGGCAGTTCAGATTAACGGAAGTTCAGCTCAATGGCAGTTCAAATTAAACAAGGCAGTTCAGCTCAACGGCAGTTCAGATTAAAGGCAGTTCAGATCAAAGGCAGGTTAGCTCAACAACAGGTCAGCTCAACAGCAGGTTAGCTCAATGGCAGGTCAGCTCAACGGCAGGTCAGATTAAACAAGGCAGTTCAACTCAACGGCAGTTCAGATTAAAGAAGGCAGTTCAGATTAAAGAAGGTAGTTCAGCTCAACGGCAGTTCAGATTAATGGCAGTTTAGATTAAAGGCAGTTCAGATTAAACAAGGCAGTTCAGATTAAAGGCAGTTCAGATTAACGGTAGTTCAGATTAAACAAGGCAGTTCAGCTCAATGACAGTTCAAATTAAACTAGGCAGTTCAGATCAACGGCAGTTCAGATTAAAGGCAGTTCAGATCAAAGGCAGTTCAGATCAAAGGCAGTTCAGCTCAACGGCAGGTCAGATTAAACAAGGCAGTTCAGATTAAACAAGGCAGTTCAGCTCAACGGCAGGTCAGCTTAATGGCAGTTCACATTAAAGGCAGTTTGCCCCCAGAGCGCAGCACAAAAAATGTAATTTACCTTAAACTGACAGGTGTAGGGATGTGCACCATTGGCAGGTCTCTCCTTCACGTGTCCCCCATGTCAGTGTAGAGCGGGCCTCTCCTCGTGTCTCTCAACGCGGTGTACAATGGGCCTCTTCTCGTGTCCCCCAAGGCGGTGTAGAGCAGGCCTTGTGTCCCCCAAAGCAGTGGAGAGCGGGCCTCTCCTGTCCCCCAAGACGGTGTAGAGTGGGCCTCTCCTCGTGTCCCCCAAGGCAGTGTAGAACAGGCCTCGTGTCCCCCAAGGCAGTGTACAGTGGGCCTCGTGTCCCCCAAGGTGGTGTAGAGTGGACCTCGAGTCACCCAAGGCGGTGGAGAGCAGGCCTCGTGTCCCCCAAGGAGGTGGAGAGCGGCCCTCGTGTCCCCCAAGGAGGTGGAGAGCGGCCCTCGTGTCCCCCAAAGCGGTGGAGAGTGGGCCTCTCCTCTTGTCCCCCAAGGCGGTGGAGAGTGGGCCTCTCCTCGTGTCCCCCAAGGCGGTGGAGAGCGGGCCTCTCCTCGTGTCCCCAAAGACGGGGGAGAGCGGGCCTCTCCTTGTGTCCCCCGCGGCGATGGAGAGTGGAATGTAAATCGATCCCTTGGGGCCTGGGGATCGCATTGCAAGCCACCCACTCCATTGCAAGCCACCCGCTCCATCTGTGCTCGCCACAAAGGAAATTTCCACATTTGGCGAGCGGAAATTTCGAACCCTGTGCTAGTCCATAGAAATACATGGGTGTCCGTCTTTCATCCGTAAATGGACAAATGAAAAACGGACATATGGAACACCCGTGTGAAAGGGGCCAAAAACTAATTTTGGGTTCTTTCACATGGGTGTTCTGTTTTTTTCATCAGTTCAGTCAGGTTTTTTCCAAAAAAAACAGTCAGTTTACATCTGTTTTTTTTACTTCCTTTACCAATGCAAAAACGGACTGTATGTCCGTTCACATCCGTTTTTCATCCCTTCTGGGGTTTTTTATGGAAGAAAATTAGAGTTTTCTTCCGTTCAAAAAAACGGATGTTAACATCAACGGATGTAAACAGATGATCATCTGTTTACATCCGCTAGTCCATAGAAATAAATGGGTGTCCATTTTTCATTTGTAAATGGACAGATGAAAAACAGACATACGGAACGCTCGTGTGACAGGGGCCTTTCTCTAGTCATCTTCCAGGACAGCACACCTGAGAGAGATGACAAACTCCACCTGACAGGAAACACAATCAATAATTGACAAAGCTTAAATTCCCTGCCATTCCCTCCTCTCCTCAGTTTTTGATTGTGTTTCCTTAGCAGTGAAACGTTTGTTGTTTTGTGGACCTGGGGGCTGGAGGTCCCCCCTAGGGGGTAAACAGCTGAGCCGAGGAGGGCAGGACCTCCAGTCCCAGGTCCACAAAACAACGTTTCGCTGCCAGGGTCCTACTTCTGAGGAGCTTCCCATGCTTGGCGTTCCAAGGATGAGCACCCTTCCTCCCTCTTTTAGGGCAGTGAAGAGGACTGGGTCGCGAGGTGCTTCTTGCGGGTGAGGACGGCCGGCATACAGAGGTGCTCCCCTGTAGGGTGAGCGAGGTAGCCGCGGTTGAGTCCACTACTGGTTCCTCCAGAAAAGAGCACAGGACCGGAAATGGGAAGCAGGAAGTAAGGCTGTGGACCAAGCCTTGCTCCCACTATATAGGTTTGAGGGTTCTAAGTAATTTTCTATAATATTTACATGTAGGAGCAGGGGCGGACTGACCATTTGGAAACTCTGGCACTGCCCCGAGGTCAGTAGGGGGCCCCATGAGATGTCCCTGGTACCTTTTTCATAGGCTTTTTTGAGTTTGGGAAAGGACACAGGGGCCCCATGATTCATTATTGCCTGGGGGCCCCATGAGTTGTCAGTCCGCCCGTGTAGGAGCGATGTCTCTGAATCGGGCCTGGTCTTCGAGTGGTTTAACGACAGTGTGACTAATGCAGCCACCACATCTAAGGACCGATATGCTACAATACTATCAATTTTCCTTCTTTGTGTTTAGAAGTAGGGACAAGGACAAGCAGAAATGCGTATATTCCAAGTGAAAGAATAGTTCCCTTTACAAGGACTAATGATATATCTTTACATATGTCCTCTAATCATGAATATTTTCCAAGCTTTTACTGAAACTTCAGCCTCTAATCATGAATCCTATGTTCAGTTCTGGAGTGTTAGCACTGATTATTGTAGTTAGGGGCCGTTTGCGTTGCACTGTGGGAGGCTGCTGTTTCATGTTTTAGCAGCTGCCGCATGCAAATCTAGACGTGACGTCATTAGAAGGCGCCTTTCCCGAGCAGCATGAGCAGGAAGTGTGTATGTTTTGTTATGCGGTGTGATTTGTAGGCTTCCTGGGTATTGAATATATGAATGGTAGCGCGGAGCTTCCAGTGTCGGTGTAATAATCATTAGAGGGGAGTTTGGCTCCTTTGTCGGTCCTGCACACTCTGCTAAGGCCAGGAAGGGGGTCGTCATGGACGTGGCCTATATCTGTGAGTGGGACAGAAAGCCCCGGAGCAGTCACTGCCCCTCCAGCCCGCCGGTGTGTGCTTGGTCCTGCCGTAACCTGATCGCCTTCACATCAGACCAGAGGAGCGAAGATGAGAAAGGTACTGGTACACCTCTTGTCACCTCTGGCCTTCCTGTCACCTTCCTAGAACTTCTGGAAGTAAACATTCACAATGAAGTGCTTTATTAAGATTGCTGTTCATTTGCTGCAGATCACTTAGTGGTGTGGCAGAATGGACCATTGTTTATTAGTATAATCTGCTGGATGTCATGGCAATAGGGAGGTTTTCACTCAGTCATTGGTCAGCACTGTTCCTGAATTCAGTAGTAAAGACCTGTTCAGAGCCTAGCACCGTGCTTACCTGATCCAGCACCACCAAAAAGTGCTGACCTGTACTGGGCCAATCGTAAGCGGTCGAGGCATTCCACGCCCCGCAGCAGCAAGTATATTGGTTAGGTGGGAATGCCCTAGTTGCAGATGATTGGTCCAGTACAGTGACAGCTTCTGGAGGGCTGGGTTCAGACTAGGATCTGAACACACCTGGGTTTGTCGTTATTAAAGTGATTGTTTGCTGCCCCCCATTTTTTGTGTGGTGCACATTTCAGATACTCACCCACTGAGAGGGTCCAGTATTAACCTGTTGAGATCCTCTTGTCTTCTGCCACCGCTCAATCCCTATGCCTGCCATTTTGCTTGTGACATCGAGAGGTCAGCCAGGTTCAGCCAACACCCCTCCCAATGACGCGGTGTCAGGCACACCCCCTTCTTTTCTGAATGAAAGGCTATGCCTCCTGGGATATGTGATGGGCATATCTCAGGAGGCGCAGTGAGCACTGTGCATGTCATTCACTTAGGTGACTGATATGCATGGGGGGGGGCACATTTTTTTTTTTCAAAAAAAAATAAAAAACAGGGCTATTCATGTAGCATATGGGAGGAGGGATGGCTTGGAGGAAAGCCTATTCAGAGGGTAAAGATCTGCTTTTAGTTTAGGTTCACTCTAGAATCGCACAGGTATCCAAATCCTAGATTGTAAGCTCCAAGGAGCAGGGCCCTCGAACCCCTCGTGTATCGCACTGTATTGTTGTACTGTCTCATGTATTGTCTCCCATTGTAATGTACAGCGCTGAGAAAACTGTTGGCGCTATATAAATACTGTATAATAATAATAATAATAATAAATCAACAAAGGAACAGGCTTCACCAGAAGATTAAAGTTTTGGAATGGCCCAGCCAGAGCCCAGACCTGAATCTGATGGAAAATCTGTGGGGTGATCTGAAGAGGGCTGTGCACAGGAGATACCCTTGCAATCTGACAGATTTGGAGTGTTTTGCAAGGAAGAGTGGGCAAATATTGCCAAGTCAAGATGTGCCAAGCTGATAGACTCATACCCAAAAAGACTGAGTGCTGTAATCAAATCAAAAGGTGCTTCAACAACGTATTAGTTTTAGGGTGTGCACACTTATGCAACCATATTATTTTAGTTTTTTCATGTTTACCCCCTACCCATCCCCAAAAGATTTTTTTTTTCAATTGAGTTGTACAGTTTCTATGTCACAAAAGGTGGAAGAAATTCTGAGATTATTTCTTTGTCTCATTTTTCTACATCACAGAAATCTGACATTTTAACAGGGGTGTGTAGACTTTGTATATCCTCTGATTAACTCCACTCTGCAATCCCCCAGACAGAAATGAGCAGTTTACCCATGCAGTGCGGGCACAGCATGGGAAAAAAAAAAAAAAAATTTGCCCAGCGTTCTTTTTTTTTTTTTTTAAAGTTTTTTTTTTTTTTTGGTTTTTTTTTGTTTTCCTGTCACTTTGGTCAAAAATGAATGTTGATTTCATCCCTTTACCAATTAGAAATCTGAATGAACATTCCTAAACCAAACCTTTTCGAATTAAAAATTTGTGTATGGCCAGCATAGGGCACACCAAGCATAGGTAGCTTGTATCAAGTTACCTGCTTATGACAAGGGAGTATTATATTACAATCCTGTCTGAAAATCTGCTAAACAGCATTTTAAAGTCTTTTTTAAAAAAATTATTTAAATAAAGTCTGATGATATGTGCCAGATTCAACTTCTTTATACATCTCTTCTGTCGGTTATTCTCAGAGTGGATTAGATATTGTTTCCCAACCATATAGCTGATTATTTATATTTACCACTGCATATAGATATTGAAGAATAAATTACTTTACATACTGTATTAACTAAATTATACACCAAACTTTTTTTGAGGTTTTAATCAAAACCATAATCTGCTAACTAATCGAATATGAAAATATTTGTTTGTTGCAGCCCTACTGGTTTCCCACACCATGTTCTACTGTGAACTGGAGCTTAGTGGTGGAATGAAGGGTAGAGGACACTTTGCAAGTTAACCTAAATGAAGTCTGCTACACAACTAAGGCATGCTCATACTAACCACACAGGAAAATGCTCTGTTATCCTAAAAGGCTCTATTCACACTTTTGTGCTTTGCAAACACACACAAACTCCCGCCTTACTTGCACACGATGCAAAATGCGATAAGAAAATTTGTTTCAAATCTGCAGAGAAGTTGCATGTTTTTTGCCGTGCACAACAAATGCAGCAAAACGCACTGTATACAAGTACAAAAAGCTACATCGGCTTCTTTCAAATAAATAGGCTGCTCTGTGTGTGACATGCAAAAATGTGACAAAAAAAAATGCACGGCTAACAAACACTAGATGTGAATGCTGCCTAAGGGCTGGTAGATGGGCTTCAGGTGTGGGTGCCTTATGCATTTACAACACAAGGCACCGTTTACCTTTTTCTTTATTGAAATGTCACAAAGTGACCCACTGCCCAGATGCAGTGCATAGAAACACAAGGTGTGACAGAGAGCTGCAAAGCGATGCAGAAAATTTGTAGATATGTATTTTTTTTTTCAATTTGCATATTCTGCCTATGTTCTAGTGCGGGGCACATAGAAAACAATTGTTTGTGAGGCATTTTTCTAGTGCAGAATATCCCAGATCTCCACAAAAGTATAAATAAGCTGTAATTGAGGAAAGAGTGAAGGTACAAAAAGTTTGGTGGTTACAGTAAAATCCAGTTTTGATCAACTGCAAGCAATTTAAAAAAACAAATGCAGGTTCAGAGAGCCATACAATGTGAAAAACGAAGCATATTTCTGCACCCAAGAGTCTCAGGTGTTCATGTACAGCTATCTGTACAAATTAATGACCGGCTGCATGCTGGTAATCACACATCCAAGCAGTTACTTGCATACAGTGACAAATGAATAGCCCTGGATGTAAACTATATCAAGGGGGACACATCTATCCATGTACACATGTGAATGCTTGGATGTGCAGCTACCAACATGCAGCCACAACCTGTCATTGATTTATACAGATGGCTGTACGCAAACAGCTGAGATTCAGAAGCAGAAATATGTTCCTGGATGCTTTTCATGGTGCACCTGTGTGAATGAAATGGTTGCATTCTAGCAGATCATAACACTTTGCATATTCATTCATGAAGTGCTTTAAAAAAAATAAGATGGTCTCTCCACTCACCCCCCCCCCCCCCCCACTACCCCCCCCACCACCACCCCTTTCAAAAGGTACCAGTCTGACACACCATGACTAGTATAAACCAGGTATACAGGCTCTTCAGCAACATTGGCTCAAGAACTTTTGTAGGAATATGTGGAGTGACGTCTAAACTAGTCTATATTTAATTTTTCAAGCCTTTGTTTTCTGTTGAAGTGAACACTATCAAGTCCAAAACAATCCATGGCTTTACAACTAAGCAGCCTTTTTTTTCTTTTTAAAGATCTTACCCATATGATCCACATCCTTGACACAGAACATCCTTGGGATGTCTATTCTATCAACTCTGGACACCAAGAAGTCATCACAAGCTTGGAGTGGGACCAGTCTGGTAAGCAGTGTAGATAAAACACGACACAAGCAGATACAGTGGATGAAGAAATGTTTTGAAAGATCTCTACAAAAGAATCATCTTAAAATTAGATCGGTAATGTTCTAGTTTTTTAATGTTTTGTTTTTGGGGGTTTTTTCAGGCTCTCGTCTACTGTCAGCTGATGCTGATGGCCGTATTAAGTGTTGGGGCATGACGGATCACTTGGCAAATAGCTGGCAGTGTATAGTAAGCAGTGAGGTAGATGGAGACCCAATCGTGGCACTTTCATGGCTTCACAATGGGGTGAAACTGGCACTGCATGTGGAAAAGGTAAACAGTAATACGTTTCTAACCTGCATACATTCTTTTCCAATCATTTGTCTTTGTCTGGGTCAGTATGCTTGCATCTGCAGTAGTTCCTGCTTATATTTATCTATTCTGTTTTCTTATAGTCAGGTGTCTCCAGTTTTGGGGAGAAATTCTCTCGTGTGAAGTTTTCTCCATCTCTAACTTTATTTGGAGGAAAGCCAATGGAAGGATGGATTGCTGTCACTATCAGTGGACTTGTTACTGTATCTTTGTTAAAGCCCAATGGACAAGTTCTGACGGCTACAGAAAGTTTGTGTCGTCTGCGATGTCGGGTTGCACTGGCTGATATTGCTTTTACTGGTGGAGGAAACATTGTTGTAGCCACCTGTGATGGAAGCAGCACATCCCCAGTACAATTCTACAAAGTCTGTGTGTCTGTTGTGAGCGAAAAGTGCAAAATTGACACAGAGATTTTGCCTTCACTCTTCATGCGCTGCACTACAGATCCAGCTCGCAAAGACAAGTTTCCTGCTGTTACTCATCTCAAATTTCTTGCCAGAGACATGTCCGAGCAGGTAAATAGAAAAAATGGTTGTCTTTGTTCCCAATTTTCTAACTGTGGTGGCCTTTTGCACATAATTTATATGACATTGCTCAAAAGCTCTGACATGACAGTATAGTGGGAAATGTTTACATATAGGATAGTATTTTTGGATAGAGAAGGAAATGGGTTAAAACCCCTATTAGTTTATTATTTTTGTTTGTGTGTTGTTGGGGAAATTTTCCTTTTACTTTCTGTTCTGGAGATAAAACAGAAAATCTCTACAAGGGAAGAGTAATTCCTCTCTTGGACAGATGTTAGAGAAACACATGCCCCCATTGTATGATTTACACTTTTTTCTCTTGTTCTGGTGACTATGTTCATTTATTACATTTAACCAGTCCCCAGAACGAACAGTGAGGCAGGCATATGGGCAGCAAAGAAACCTGACTGGTCCAATCCTTCACTACTCTACCCTAGGCATGGAAAAAACGTACATAGGAATGTAGGACAGTTTTATGGAAATTGACTCAGTTCAATCCAAAATTCAAGCTAATAGTTATCAGTACAAGCCCATCTACTTGAGTTGGTGATGGCAGTAAAGGGTCTACAAATATAAATACTCTTTTAAATAGGTACCGTTTTTTTTTTAATCTGATAACAAGTTTATATTAACAGGTAGATAGTTAACTCTTTTCTTTCCTTCCATGAATTAGGTTCTCCTATGTGCCTCTAATCAGTGTTCCAGTGTAGCAGAGTGCTGGTCCTTGCGTAAGGAAGGACTCCCCCTCAATAACATTTTCCAGCAACTTTCTCCTGGAGGTAAAGTAGCATTATTACAGCCTCTAGATTGGACTACTCCTTCTACAGGTTCAGACTCTGGCTGTGTCACCTGGCAAAGCCCTCACTGTAACTTCCCAAACTGCAGAATTGGGGTCAAATGTTTCTTTTTGGTACCTAGGTTTCTCTTGGACTCCAGTAGCTGGTATTTTCCTAACCTCGGTGCTCACATGGCCCTAGTGATAGAATAAATATATATATTTACTAAGTAAGGGTTTGGTTTCACACTTTCTTTGCTATTCATTCCCTTTTTATCTTTTTATGTGTTTCTTTCTTTCTGACCTTTTTATAGTGGTTAATGTTAAGGGTAATGTCAAATGTGCTGCCAAAAACTTATAGGGAGCGCTAATTCTATTGTATTGCCTTATGTAACATATCCCCAGTTTCAAACTACCTCCCTTGTATGCCCTGGTCTCTTACCAACCCTGCCACATGCCTGTAATCTCTGACCATTTGCCTTTAGCATGTCCACAATCCTTGACCATCTATTGTAGTATGTCCGCAATCTCTGATAGTTTTTCTTTAAAGTGTTGTTAAATCCAGAACTTTTCTCCTGGAATTTTGATATTATCATGGTGAATTTTTTTTTTATATAGCAATCAATTCTGTGGCTGCTGCATTGTCCCCATCCTGCACATGCTCCACTATCTCCTTTTCAGTCCCTTCACTTTCCTCTGTTCGAGCTGTCCCACATGATGTTTTGCATCAGTTGGGGTCGGCTCTGAAGTTAAGACTGCAGTATGGCACTATTGGGAGTCAAGATTGATATGGGATGCTTCTCCCTAGTTTATCAATCTCTTGTTTCACACAAAGCACAGACTTTAGGAACAATTCACAGATTGCCTTTGCTGGCAGAGCTGCTGGTAAAAGTAATCTGTGAACCGTCATTAAAGTCTGAGGCAACATTTGTGGCCCCTTTTATGTTGTAAGTTGACCGCTGCTCATACCCAATTTCTTTAGCAGATTGATACATTTTCATATTTTGTGCTGCATGATGTGTAGTAAAAGTGTCTGTAATTGAGACTGTCTTTGTTGCCCTGCAATCAGTGTTTAAATCTGGCTTTCTAAACTTTTTTTTACCCCAGAGGGAACCCTAAAATATTCAGGCCTTGAGGAATCCCTACAAAACCAACTAATAGGAAAAATGCCACTTACATTGGTGATAAATAGAAGTAAGCAACACTACAGTGGCGGTCAGAATGCCACCCTTACAGACCACTAAAAAGATAACTGGGTCAAGCTGCTGGTTTAGCCAAGTAGTGTTGGCTCTGTGGAATCCTGGAGTTACTTCAGAGGTTACAAAGATTTCTTTGGGGTTTGGCTGGCTGATTTCTCACCTATTCTGACTGCATAGCTTTTGGGCCAACACCACATGAAAGAGCTAGCAGCAAGACACTGATGATCGCTTTTTTTTTTTTTTTTTTAAGCTGTCTTTGAGGGTGGCATGCAAACCAGAACTGTAACCAATGCACGGGGCATTCTTCCTACTGACCTCCACTGTAAGGTGGATTTTCCCCACTGGCTGCCAATAAATTGTTTTTAGCAATGGTTCCCGTAGACTAGGAAGCTATTTCATGGGTTCTTCTAGAATAATAAGATTGGAAAAAAGACGGATATACTTTTGTATGTATTAAAAAGTGTGTTTATAGGTAGCATTTACAAAGGTTAATGGTGTCTATGAAGTTCCTACCACCCCAAGCATATCTGCAGTATGTAATAGTGAGATTTAGTGTTGTCACGCATGAGCTATTCACTGTTCTCCTTACTGTAAGCTTTGACATGAGGGGAAAAAACTCGGCCTCTACCAATATGTGTGCCTGCACACTTAGACACAATCCAGGACAAGGCATTGTATGTCAGTAATGAAGAAAGTATCATCTGCAGGTAGACCAAAGGCAATACTGGTGACTAGTCTTTTTTGCTCTTTGTCTGTCTTTTTGGAGCACATCTTCAGTTCCTTTTTCAGCAGACAATTAAAAAGGCGCTCCAGTCCTCCCAAGAAATTACTTTACTTTAGCTGCTGTCTTTTAATATAAGGACACGTACCTGTTTTGGGATCCAGCGCTGTCTTTACTCGAGTCAACTTTTCAATCGGCTTTGGGTCCAGATGCTGGAATCTTACCTAAGCGAAACCGGCAGGGTTTCCATCTGCGCTTGTGTGAGCCATGCTGTGCTCTGTGATTAGTCCTGTAGTTTTCTGGGACCTGTGATGTGTCCCAGAAATCTGCTGGGGGAGGGGGGAAACTTCCACTCGGAGTACTGGGGCAATCTGACTGAGAGCTGGTAACTGTCGATACCAGGTACTCTCTCCCCCCCAAAATAAAAGGTGGCAAATGTTAGTGGGAGGGGGGTGCAAACAAACGGAACTTCCCTTTTTTGGGTGAAGTTCAGCTTTAAGCTGTTTTGTACCTGTACACCAAGAAATTACCATTACAAATGAACTATGCACAAAGTCAGAAATGTAATGCAGACTATTACTAGAACTAGCAGTTTTGTCTTTTGTTAGCACAGCGGTTTAGTTTTTATGTTATTAGTCCCCCATGTAACATACTTTTATCTGTTGATCCTGCCACTGAGTATGTTTCCTTTATTGAGGTGACGACTGTTATGTAGTGAAATCTCACAGCTGCACTGTCACTCTGTGGACAGGATAGTCTTTGGTGGACTTTTGAATGGACTCTTAAGCAAAAGATAAATTAAAGCTTAACTCCATATAACACTTTTAAGGCTGGTACACACGGGCCAAATATCAGCTGGTTCAACAGAAACCGACCGATTTTACAGCCCCTCTATACAGCAGCCTGTCTGACAGAAGCCATTCTAACCAGCTTTTATTGAACGGACATACTGGAAAAACCAGCATCCAATCAGTGTGTTCTGGCTGGGGGTAGTGGTGGAGGGCCCACCTCATGTTTTTTTTATTTTTTGTTCAGTCCGCTGGGTTGAATGGAAAAAAAACTCTGTGTGTACCTAGCATTAGGCCGTAAAGTGTGTGTGTGTGTTAGTTACAGGAGGCAATGAGAGAAACAATAAGGCCTCATTCACATTGGAACTGTCAAACCTGCATTTTATATGCATTTAGAGGACATTTCTAAGTGCATATGAATGCATGTATTTATTTTTCAATGGTACCTTTTCAGTTTAGGTGCAGTCAAATATAGCTGCGTTCAAGAAAAAAAATTAATTCTGTGTGTTTAGGATCTGATTTTAAACTAAACTCAGCTAAACCTATTTTAAACAGGAACATCTAAACAAAGGCAAAAGTGATCCTCAGGAGCTGTGTGTGTGTATACGCACCTGTTTCTCTCTAGTAGGATTTTGTAGGATATTGTCAGCTAATTCAGGGCCTAGTGCTTTCTAACAGTTTGTGGAATATATCAACTAAACTTTATATAAATAAATGAATTGCTAATTTGGTCATTTTTTTCAGTGAGTGATAAGCAGCCAATGATACTGAAGTGGCGTATCTTGTCGGCTACCAATGAACTGGAGCGTGTGTCTGCTGTAGCTCTACCCAAACTTCCAATTTCCCTTACCAATACGGACATCAAAGTGGCAAATGAGACTAAGTTTTATCCTGGGCTAGGTATGATACAATTATTTTTATGTACCTTTGTTACCTGGGAAGGCTAGTTAAAGTTTATGGCTACAAATAAAGTACACGTTCTCTAGTAATCAGGATTTGTTACATTTTCTTTTCAGGTTTAGCACTGGCATTCCACGATGGTAATGTTCACATTGTGCACAGATTATCACTGCAGACAATGGCTGTCTTATTTGGTTCATCCATGCGTCCCTCTGAGGAGCCCAGTTTAAAACGTCAACGTTCGCCTACCCCTTGTGTTCATTTCAAGGCCCTGCAGATGTCCTGGACTTCATTGGCATTAGTTGGATTAGACACCCAGGGCAAGGTTAAGAAGAAATTCTTAGACTGTATTTTATTGACTTCTGCCCATGTATTAGTGACTACAGAAATAACAGCAGTCCGAGATAGATTAATATATAAAAATGATGCAGCGCTAACAATAATAAACTAAATATGATAGCAAATAACCCAAATCCATCGGGGGATATGGAAACAGGCAAAACCCTTAACAGGTAGATAATAGTGGCTTAGTGCAAAATACAGTGTCCATAGTTCATATCTTTAAAACGTGCAGGTGAGTCACAGCACACTCCAAACGTGATCCAAGGCAGTCTGGCTGCAATGGCCTCTCACCTCCACTCTATGACCCCACAGGGCCACAAAGCATATTGCAGATCACCTCTGGGTCCCTCCAACCAGTAGCTCCTCAAAGAGAAATGGCATGGGCGGACATCACATGAATATGAATAACCTCCAGCCGGACCAGCGGACATACAGAATGTACCCTCCTCAGATGTCAGAAAGCTCGTATGCTCATAAATGAGGAGAGAAACACAATCCTCATAGTGTATTACTGATTTTAATGGCCAGACAATCACAGTAAGCCAAGAAAAACAGGAAAAACATACACTTACATAACGGCAGTTACTTTCCCCATGGATTGGGTGTACAGCATGATCAGAAGGTGTTCCAAAATGGCGCCATTTTGGAACACCTTCTGATCATGCTGTACACCCAATCCATGGGGAAAGTAACTGCCGTTATGTAAGTGTATGTTTTTCCTGTTTTTCTTGGCTTACTGTGATTGTCTGGCCATTAAAATCAGTAATACACTATGAGGATTGTGTTTCTCTCCTCATTTATGAGCATACGAGCTTTCTGACATCTGAGGAGGGTACATTCTGTATGTCCGCTGGTCCGGCTGGAGGTTATTCATATTCATGTGATGTCCGCCCATGCCATTTCTCTTTGAGGAGCTACTGGTTGGAGGGACCCAGAGGTGATCTGCAATATGCTTTGTGGCCCTGTGGGGTCATAGAGTGGAGGTGAGAGGCCATTGCAGCCAGACTGCCTTGGATCACGTTTGGAGTGTGCTGTGACTCACCTGCACGTTTTAAAGATATGAACTATGGACACTGTATTTTGCACTAAGCCACTATTATCTACCTGTTAAGGGTTTTGCCTGTTTCCATATCCCCCGGTGGATTTGGGTTATTTGCTATCATATTTAGTTTATTATTGTTAGCGCTGCATCATTTTTATATATTAGTTTTTCATTGTCCTTTTTTTGGTATAGGATAGATGCTGGCGGCTTCTTTTAGCTGAATATTGTATCCACCTTAAAAGCGCAGGAGGATTTATATTTACTTACTAGTCCGAGATAGATTAATTTGTCTGTATCACATTTTAGCCCTAGTCTGTAAGCACACATTCATGCCACATACAGGTGAAACTTGAAAAATTAGAATATCGTGCAAAAGTTCATTTATTTCAGTAATGCAACTTAATAGGTGAAACTAATATGAGATAGACTCATTACATGCAAAGCAAAATAATTCAAGCCGTGATTTGTCATAATTTGATGATTATGGCTTACAGCTCATGAAAACCCCAAATCCACAATCTCAGAAAATTACATGCGATCAATAAAACAAGGATTGTACATAGGACAATATCGGACCCTTGAAAAGTATAAACATGCATATGTACTCAGTACTTGGTTTGGGCCCCTTTTGCAGCAATTACTGCCTCAATGCGACGTGGCATGGAAGCTATCAGCCTGTGGCACTGCTGAGGTGTTATGGAAGACCAGGATGCTTCAATAGTGGCCTTCAGCTCTTCTGCATTGTTCGGTCTCATGTCTCTCATCTTTCTCTTGGGAATGCCCCATAGATTCTCTATGGGGTTCAGGTCAGGCGAGTTTGCTGGCCAATCAAGCACAGTAATCTCACGGTCATTGAACCAGGTTTTGGTGCTTTTGGCAGTGTGGGCAGGTGCCAAGTCCTGCTGGAAAATGAAGTCCGCATCCCCATAAAGCTCGCCTGCGGAAGGAAGCATGAAGTGCTCCAATATCTCCTGGTAGACGGCTGTGTTGACCCTGGACTTAGTGAAGCACAGTGGACCAACACCAGCAGATGACATGGCTCCCCAAATCAACACATACTGTGGAAACTTCACACTGGACTTCAAGCATCTTGCAGTGTGTGCCTCTCCATTCTTCCTCCATACTCTGGGTCCTTGGTTTCCAAACAAGATGCAAAAGTTGCTCACATCAGAAAAGAGGACTTTGGACCACTGAACAGCAGAGCAGGTCTGTTTTTCTTTAGCCCAGGTAAGACGCATCTGATGTTGTTTTTTGTCCAGGAGCGGCTTGACAAGAGGAATACGACATTTGAAGCCCATGTCCAGGATCCGTCTGTGTATGGTGGCTCTTGATGCACTGACTCCAGCTTCAGTCCACTCCTTGTGAAAGTCCCCAACACTTTTGAATGGCCTTTTCCTGACAATCCTCTCCAGGCTGCTGTCATCCCTGCTCCTTTGCAGGTGTTATGGCTTAATTAGCTGATTAGAGTGTGACACTTTGAGCCTAGAATATTGCACCTTTTCACAATATTCTAATTTTCTGAGATTGTGGATTTGGGGTTTTCATGAGCTGTAAGCCATAATCATCACAATTATGACAAATCACGGCTTGAACTATCTTACTTTGCATGTAATGAGTTTGTTTCATACATTAATTTCACCTTTTAAGTTGCATTACTGAAATAAATGAACTGTTGCACGATATTCAAATTTTTCGAGTTTCACCTGTATAAGATGTACAGTGGATATAAAAAGTCTACAGACCCCTGTTAAAATGTCAGGTTTCTGTGATGTAAAAAAAATCAGATAAATAATTTTCAGAACTTTTTACAACTTTTTCCACCTTTTTAATGTAACCTATAACTGTACAACTCAGCTGAACAACAACGGAAATCTTGAGGTGGAGGGAAGTAAAAATAAAAAACTAAAATAATATGGTTGCATAAGTGTGCACACCCTTAAACTAATACTTTATTGAAGCACGTTTTGATTTTATTCCAGCACTCAGTCTTTTTGAGCATGAGTCTTTTTAGCATAACACATATTGACTTGGCAATATTTGCCCACTCTTCATTGGAAAAACACTCCAGATCTGTCAGATTGTGAGGGCATCTCCCTTGCACAGCCCTCTTCAGGTCACCCCACAGATTTTTGATCAGGTTGAGGTCTGGGCTCTGTTTAGGCCATTCCATAACTTTAACCACTTGCCTACCAGGCACTTATACCACCTTATTTACCAGGCCAATTTTCAGCTTTCAGCGCTGCCGCACTTTGATTGACAATTGCGCGGTCATGCAACATTGTACCCATATGAAATTTTGATCATTTTTTTCTCACAAATAGAGCTTTCTTTTGGCGGTATTTAATCGCCACTGGGCGCTTTACTTTTTGCGCTATAAAAAAAAAAGTGCAAAAAATTTGAAAAAAAAAAAAAAGTTTCTTTGTTTCTATTATAAAATTTTTCAAACAGGTATTTTTTCTCCTTCACTGATGTGCGTTGATGAGGCAGCACTGATGGGCACTGATAGGCGGCACTGATGAGCACTGATAGGCAGCACTAAAGGGCACTGATAGGCAGTACTAATGAGGTGGCACGGATAGGCGGCACTGATAGACAGCACTAATGAGGTGTCACGGATAGGCGGCACTAATATGCAGCACTGATAGGCGGCACTGATGATGGGTACTGATAGACGGCACTGACTGGCATCACTGCTGGGCACTGACTGGCGGCCCCTGATCGGTGCCGATCCCCGCTCTGACAACTGCCGGTTCTCGGCAGTACTTTCCTCACGATCTGACAGCGTGAGGAAAGTGCAGCCGAGAACCGGCACTTGCATTTCCCTGTGATCAGCGTGTCATTGGACACCGCTGATCACGTGGTAAAAGGCCGCTGTGATTGGCCTTTTACCACATCACGTGATCAGCTGTGTCCGTAGGACACAGCGATCACAGAGATCGCCGGGTGCGCGCCCCCTGGGGAGCGCAGGAGAGCGAGTTCTGGGAGGACGTCATATGACGTCCACTCAGAACTGGCCGGCTGCAGTGTAGCCGTCATTCGGCTATCTGCGGTCGGCAACTAGTTAATCATCTTCTGGTAAAATCATTCCTTTGTTGAGTAGGATGTATGCTTTGGGTCGTTGTCATGCTGAAAGATGAAGTTCCTCTTCATGGTCAGCTTTCTAGCAGAAGCCTGAAGGTTTTGTGCCAATATTGACTGGTATTTGGTACTGATAATTCCCTCTACCTTGACTAAGGTTCCAGCTGAAGAAAAACAGCCCCAAAGCATGATGCTGCCACCACCATGCTTCACTGTTCAACCTTGGTTTCATCAGACCAGAACACATTTTTCCACATGCTTTTGAGAGACTTCAGTTGTGTTTTTGCAAAATTTAGCCAGGCTTAGATGTTTTTCTTCGTAAGAAAAGGCTTCTACCCCATAACCCAGACATATGAAGAATACGGGAGATTGTTGTCACATGTACCACACATCCAGTACTTGCCAGATATTGCTGCAGCTCCTTTAACCAGTTGCCGACCACAGATAGCCGAATGACGGCTACACTGCGGCCGGCCAGTTCTGGGAGGGCATCATATGACGTCCTCCCAGAACACGCTGTCCTGCGCGCCCCCCCTTTGGACGCCTCCGGCAATCTCCGTGATCGTTGTGTCCTACGGACATAGCTGATCACGTGATGTGGTAAAATGCCAATCACAACGGCCTTTTACCATGTGATAAGCCGTGTCCAATGACACACTGATCACAGGGAAATGCAATTGCCGTTCTCGGCTGAACTTTCCTCTCGCTGTCAAAGCGTGAGGAAAGTACTGCCGAGAACCGGCAGTTGTCAGAGCAGGGATCGGCACAGATTATCAGGGCACTGATGATCAGTGCCCAGCAGTGCCGCCCACCCACCCACCACCTCCGCCCACCTGTGCTTTATCTGTGCCACCCACCTGTGCCCAGCAGTGCCGCCATTCAGTGCCCAACAGTTCCGCCAGTCAGTGCCACCTATCAGTGCTGACTTTCGGTGCTCATCAGTGCCGCCCATATCCATTAGTGCTGCCTGCCATTATCCATTAGTGCTGCCTATTAGTGCCTATCACTGCTGCCTCATCAACGTACATCAGTGAAGGAGAAAAATTGCCTGTTTGCAAAATTTTATAATGGAAACAAAGAAACTTTTTTTTTTTTTTTTTTTTTGCACTTTTTTTGTTTATAGCGCAAAAAGTAAAACACCCAGCGATGATTAAATACCACCAAAAGAAAGCTCTATTTATGAGAAAAAAATGATAAAACTTTCATATGGGTACAATCTTGCATGACTGCGCAATTGTCATTCAAAGTGCGACAGTGCTGAAAGCTGAAAATTAGTCTGGTAAGGAAGGAGGTATAAGTGTCTGGTAGGCAAGTGGTTAATGTTTCTGTAGGCCTCTTGGCAACCTCCCAGACCAGTTTTTTATTTTCGTCTTTGCATCAATTTTGGAGTGACGTCCAGTTCTTGGGAATGCCACTGTTATGCCATATTTTCTCCACTTGATATCTGTTTTCTCTGTGTTCCATGGTATATCTAATGCCTTGGAAATTCTTTTGTACCCTTCTCCTGACTAATACCTTTTAACAATGAGATCCCTCTGATGCTTTGGAAGCTCTCTGTGGACCATGGCTTTTGCTGTAGGTTGCGACTAAGAAAATGTCAGGAAAGACCTACTAGAACAGCTGAACTTTATTTGGGGTTAATCAGAGGCACTTTAAATGATGGCAGGTATGTACTGACTCCTATTTAACATGATTTTGAATGTGGTCCTTAATTGTGAACACAGCTACATCTCCAGTTATGAGAGGGTGTGTACACTTCTGCAACCCCTATTATTTCAGGTTTTTTTTATGTTTACTTCCCCCCCCCCCCCCCCCCCCCCCCCCCAAAAGATTTCAGTTTGTTTTTCAATTGAGTTGTACAGTTTATAGGTCACATTAAAGGTGGAAAAAATTCTGAAATTATTTATCTTTGTCATTTTTTTACATCACAGAAACCTGACATTTTAACAGGGGTTTGTAGACTTTTTTTTATATCCACTGTATGTAGACCTAATGAGGAGTACAGGAGACATTCTCATGAATATTCATGATTGTACAAATTGACAGGTAGAAGATAGCTGCATTATATTTTTTTCTATGTTCCATCCTGCATTTTCTCCTTGTTGCTGCACTTACTGTACACATAAGGGCTGAATGGAGTATCTATATTATCCCTGTGTTTGCATGGGTTTCTTCCAGGTGATACAAGACATGCAGAACATACAGAAAGTGCAAATAACCTGACAGTCTGATACATCAACTGGCAAAAATGCTAAAAGCTCAAAAGAACACGTACAGTGATATTTTCCAGACAAATCCAACGCATTTCGGAACTTGTTTTTTTTTTTCCATTCAATCTCTTACGAATATCTGTCATCCACTATGTGATGTGATGTAATTTGTAAGTGTTTGAGCAATCGGCTTTCTTCTATGTAGTATTAAAGTGATATCATGTACTATGTTGTTCAAATTTTCCTGATATGCTGTTATGTTTTAGACTTGACATGCTTGGTTCCAGAAGAAGTAAACATGAGTTCCAAAACACATTGGATTTGTCTGGACAACATCACTGTATGAGTTCTTTTGAGCTGTTAGTCTGAGATACATCAACTAGCAAAAAAGCTGGCAGGTTATTTGCATTTTGTCTATGTTCTGCAGGTGAACTATTGTATTGGAGTTCACTCTATCAAACCCACTGGTTCGTTTTTATTGTAACAGACTTTCGTAATAAACATTACCATTTTATACTTTTATATACAGTTGCAAGAAAAAGTATGTGAACCCCTTGGGATTACGTGGAGTTTTGCATGAATTGGGCATAAAATGTGCTCTGAATATCATCTAAGTCACAACAATAGAAGAACACAGTCTGCTGAACATAATACTACACAAACATTAGATGTTGCCATGGTTTAATTGCACATAACATGTAATCATTCACAGTGCAGGGAGGAAAAAGTATGTGAACCTTTGGACTTAATAACTGGTTGACCCTCCTTTTGGCAGCAATAACCTCAACCATCCTTTGGCAGCAATAACCTCAACCAAACGTTTCCTGTAGTTGCAGATCAGACCTGCACAACGATCTGGAGTAATTTTGGACCACTCCTCTTCACAAAACTGTTTCAGTGTAGCAATATTCTTGGGATGTCTGGTGTGAATTGCTCTCTTAATGCCACAGCATTTCAATCGGGTTGAGGTCAGGAGTCTGACTGGGCCACTCCAGAAGGCGTATTCTGTGCTGTTGCAGCCATTGTTTTGTTGAATTACTTGTATGCTTTGGGTCATTGTCCTGTTGCATCACCCATCCTCTGCTGAGCTTCAGTTGGCAGACAGATGGTCGTACGTTTTCCTGCAAAATGTCTTGATAAACTCTGGAATTCATTTTCCCATCAATGACAACAATCCGTCCAGGCCCTGAGGCAGCAAAGCAGCCCCAAACCATGATGCTCCCTCCGCCATGTTTTACAGTGGGGATGAGGTTTTGATGTTGGTGTGCTGTGCCTTTTTTTTCTCCACACATAGTGCTGTGTGTTCTTCCCAAACAACTCAATCTTGGTTTCATCTGTCCACAGTATATTTTGCCAGTAGTGCTGTGGAACATCCAGGTGCTCTTTTGCAAACTTCAAACGTGCTGCAATATTCTTTTGGACAGCAATGGCTTGTACTCCATTCTTGTTTAATGTTTTCCTTATTGTAGATGTGTCAACAAAAATGTTAGCATGTGCCAGAGATTTCTGTAGGTCTTTAGCTGACACTCTGGGATTCTTCTTTGCCTCATGCTGCATTCTGCGCTGTGCTCTTGCAGTCATTTTTACAGGACGACCACGCCTAGGGAGAGTAGCAACAGTGCTAAACTTTCTCCATTTGTAGACAGTCTGTCTTACCGTGGACACATGAACATCATGGCTTTTGGAGATACTTTTGTAACCCTTTCCAGCTTCATGCAAGTCAACAATTCTTGATCGTAGGTCTTCTGAGAGCTCTTTTCTGCGAGGCATGGTTCACATCAGACAGTGCTTCTTGAAATCAGCAAACCCAAAACAGGTTTGTGTTTTTTAGGGGCAGGACAGCTGTCAGCAACACATCCAATATCATCACACTGATTGGAGTCAAGGTTGGCTCACTCCTGGCTCCAGTTAGCTCTGGGAGAAGTCATTAAGCTAGGGCCTCACATACTTTTTCCTCCCTGCACTGTGAATGTTTACATGTTATGTGCAATTAAACCATGGCAACATCTAATGTTTGTGTAGTATTATGTTCAGCAGACTGTGTTCTATTGTTGTGACTTAGATGACGTTCAGAGCACATTTTATGCCCAATTCATGCAAAACTCCACGTAATCCCAAGGGGTTCACATACTTTTTCTTGCAACTGTACCTACTGTAGGTTTTGCCATATAAAGTCCCTGGGGAATACAATTTTTTTTCTTGATTTTTATATATTGGGATGTTGGCAGAAAGTTTTTAAAGGGGGCCATTTTATCTTTTTTTCTTTTTTTTTTTTCAGTTTTGTAAGGATGTAAAGCACATCAGTGAAAATGTGTTCTGGGAGATACTGTAGTAAAATGAGAATATACTTATTCTTGGTTAGTAATTTGAGTTCTCTGTCTTAACAGCTCAGCATGCTGAGAGTCTCCCCATCTATGGGTCACGCACTTGATATGACTACTTCACTTCGTCATCTCCTGTTCCTGCTAGAATATTGCATGGTGACTGGGTACGACTGGTGGGATATCCTGCTACATGTGCAACCTAACATGGTACATAATTTAGTAGAGAAACTACATGAAGAGTATACCAAACAAAATGCAGCACTGCAACAGGTGAGATCTCGTTAAGTGCAAAACATCCTGATTTAAAGCAAGTGTGTTTTCCATATGAAATACTATGAATTATACCTTTTTGCTAATGATAATTTAGGTCCTGTCCACCCGGATCCTGGCTATGAAAGCATCGCTTTGTAAACTTTCACCTAGCACCATCACTCGAGTCTGTGACTATCATGCCAAGTTGTTCCTTATTTCAGTCAGCTGCACTCTGAAGTCTTTGCTGCGACCCCACTTTTTAAACACTCCCGACAAAAGCCCAGGAGACAGGCTTACCGAGATCTGCAATAAATATCCTGATACAGGTACATCTATTGCAAAGTTGAAGTACCAATAGAAATAAGTCCTGCTTGTTATTAGCTGTAAACCAGACTTTCTCTTTTAGATATAGACAAAGTGATGATTAATCTGAAAACAGAGGAGTTTGTTCTAGACATGCCAACTCTTCAGTCACTACAGCAACTTATTCAGTGGATTGGTGACTTTGTGTTGTATCTGCTGGCCAGCCTTCCCAACCAGGTAACTGCACTTTACCCTGGGCCCCTTTTGTCTGTTTTACGGTTCTATTTTTCCTGGTGTATGATGTTCAGATCATCTAGTCATAATGCTTACATAAAGGTGTGCTATAATTAGGTGGCTAGAAAACCTGTAAATTACCTATACTGCAAGTGTTCAGGAAAGAGTAGTAGTAGTAGAGTATCTTATAGCTTAAAAGTTTTTGTTGAAAGACTGACAAAAGCCTTATGTGACTCCTACACCATTACTTGACAAATATAGTTTCAGTCCTAAGCAGAACTCCAGGTATTGCAGCGCTTAAAAAAAAAAAAAAAAAAAAAATGTAGATTTATAAGGGAATAAGTTGAAGGAGGTGTATTCCACTTTGTGGACTTATCTCTTATTTACTGTTTTTAATATTTTACTGATCATAGAGAGTACAGCTATTGTTACACTCCTGGCACTCTGACAGGAAATATGCACTCTATTACACAGCAGTAGCTCTGGCTGCCCCTCTGTTCCACTGTCCATTCACGAAATACCTTGTATTTTATAAATGGGTTCACATAAAACAAAGCATTCTGTGATTGGGCAAGAAATGAAGAGGAGCATGCAGAGCGTCTGCTGTATTGAAGACCTGAAGATTTTGTGTCAGAGTGCTGGAAGTATAACAATACCTATGCTCCTGGCACTCTGTAAAAATGTAAATAAATAAGAGAAGATTTTTAAGTGTTGTAATTCCTGTAGTTCTGCTTTAAGCTATACTATATTGCCAAAAGTATTGGGACACCTCTCCATATCATTGGAATCAGGTGTTCCAATCACCTCCATGACCACAGGTGTACAAAATCAAGCCCCTAGGCATGCAGACTGCTTCTAAAACATTTGTGAAAGAATGGGTTGTTCTCTGAAGCTCAGTGAATTAAAGTGTGGTACTGTGATAGGTTGCCACCTGTGCAATAAGTCCATCTGTGAAATTTCCTTGCTACTAAATATTCTATGGTCAAATGTTGGTGGTATTATAACAAAGTGGAAGTAACTAGGAACAGCAGCAATTCAGCCACAAAGTGGTAGGCCACGTAAAATGACAGAGCGGGGTCAGCGCATGCTGAAGCACACAGTGCGCAAAAGTTGCCAAATGTCTGCACAGTCAATAGCTAAAGACCTCCAAACTTCACATGGCCTTCAGATTAGCATAACAGTGCGTAGAGAGCCGGGCAGTTGCACCCAAGCCTTAAATTACCAAGTGCAATGCAAAGTATTGGATGTAGTGGTGTAAAGCACGCTGCCACTAAACTCTAGAGCAGTGGAAACGTTCTCTGGAGTGACCAATCACGCTTCTCTGTCTGGCAATCCAATGGACGTGTCTAGGTTTGGCGGTTGCCAGAAGAATGGTACTTGCATGACTGCAGTGTGCCAAGTGTAAAGTTTGTTGGAGGGGAGATTATGGTGTGGGGTTGTTTTTTCAGACATTGGGCTTGGCCCCTTAGTGCAAAAGGGGATGAAAGAGAGAGCGCACAAACCTTGTGCATTACCTCAATAAATAATGAATTATTTTATTTAGGAAATATACTCACAAACGTGACGGTAAAACAGGCGCAAGTTAACCATAATCCACACAGGGTTACAGGTATTTCCAAAAGGGGGGATAAAAGCTAACACGTTTCAAAGGGTGCTCCCTTCTTCATCAGAGCTGGGTTTGGCAGATAGAAACTTCAGTATAGCAGAGTTCCCATAGCAAGGAGACATTCAGCCACTGAGTGGCTGTAATATTGACACTCAGTGGCTGAATGTCTCCTTGCTATGAGAACTCTGCTATACTGAAGTTTCTATCTACCAAACCCAGCTCTGATGAAGGGAGCACCCTTTGAAACGTGTTAGCTTTTATCCCCCCTTTTGGATTTACCTGTAACCCTGTGTGCAGTATAGTTAACTTATGCCTGTTATACCATCACGTTTGTGAGTATATTTCTTAAATAAAATAACATTATTCATTTATTAAGGTAATGCGCAAGGTTTGTACGCTCTTTCTTTCATCCCCTTTTACAGTTCTATTAAGCTTCCCCAGCTTCATGATTGAGCCGCACAACCTCTGATCACCAGCGGATGAACACGCTGTTTGTTACTAACGCCTGTTTGATCTGAGTCTTTGAGCGCAGGAGATAATGGATCCTTGGCCCTTTAGTTCCAGTGAAGGGAACTCTTAAGGCATCAGCATACCAAGACATTTTGGACAATTTCATGCTCCCAACTTTGTGGGAACAGTTTGGGGATGGCTCCTTCCTGTTCCAACATGACTGTGCACCAGTGCACAAAGCAAGGTCCATAAAGACATGAATGAGCGAGTTTGGTGTGGAGAAACATGCCTGGCCTGCATGAGTCCTGACCTAAACTCAATAGAACACCTTTGGGATGAATTAGAGTGGAGACTGCAAGCCAGGCTCTCTCGTCTGACATCAGTGCCTGACCTCACAAATGCACTTCTGGAAGAATGGTCAAACATTCCCATAGAAGCACTCCTAAACCTTGTGGACAGCCTTCACAGAAGGGTTGAAGCTGTTATAGCTGCAAAGGGTGGGCCAACTCAATATTGAACCCTATAGACTAAGCCTGGGATGCCATTAACCCCTTCACGCCGGATCGTCCTGGCGTGAAGAGGAGTTCCTGTGCCGGGAGCTGGGCGGGGCTCAGTGTCATTTGGCCGCTGTGACATCCTGTCACGGCCGGTCACATGCTCAGGAAAGGTCCCGATCGAAAGAGCGGACCGAGACCTTTCCGTGAGTACCGCACATGTGTGCTGGGAGCGCGCAGGGCGCACGCTCTCAGCACATATGTTTTTTGTTACATGAACACAAATGTGCGGCCGCTCGGCGTCTTGGCCCAGACATCGGGAGGTCGTACATTTGCATGCGGCCGGCGTGAAGGGGTTAAAGTTCTTATGCTTGTAAAGGCAGGCGTCCTAATACTTTTGGCAATGTAGTGTATGCAAAGGGTTCCATATTATAGGAGCTTTACAAATGTGAACCACTGCTGGACTGCGTATCCAAACACACTATGGATACTTTTTAAAAAGTCTTGGACATCTTTATTAAAAAGTATTTACATACTTTTTAGCAGGAAAGCATATATAATAATTTTTAGAGTCTTGTATTATATAATTTTTTGTTAAAAGAATTGCTAAAACCAGTAGATAAATGGCATGTTTAAAGTGTAATTCCAGTATATACCCAACTAGCCTTTAAACTGTCACCTCCTAACACCTTTGCTAACTAACCAATGTAAGAAAGATATATATAAATACTTAACCAATTTCATGCTGCTCTAGTCCAGTCACATGATCCAGCTCCCCTCTGTCAGCCAGCAGGGCTTCAGGGGAGAAAACCCATGGGTGATGTCACAGCTCCAGGCTTTACTAGCCATTGTCAGGGCATGATCTTCTTTTCCCTGCTGCTGCTAGCTGACATAAGGGAGTTTGTGACTGGACTGGAGCTGCCTGAAAATAGGTAAGTGCGTACATCTTTCTTACACAGGTTAGTTAGCATAGGTGTTAGGAGTGGCGAAGGAGGGCGTTTTAAGGCTAGTTACAGTAGGTGTAAGTTGGAATTCCACCTCTAAATCTGTTCTGTTCCCTAAACCAAAAAAAAATATTGTATACAGAACCTTGAATTAATCTAAATTGCAGAACCTCTTAATTTCATTAAGAATATTATACAAAAGTAATGATCACATCACACAAACCCATACTGTTAGAATAGAATTATACAATGTTGTCTGTAGCAGGCTAAACTCCAAAAAAAATACTGCAGGTGTTTCAGCCAGCATTTTGGCTTTATATATTCCCTGTACTATGGACAATCGGGCACCAGAAAATGATAAAATCAAGGTTTCATCTGCTAAAATAGCAGTAACAGTTATGCAATGCATGAATAGATGTGCTAGTACAGTTCTGTGGGCTCAGGTGCTTTCCAGTATTTGAAGAAAGGGGAGAGAGTTCAGTTCTCTTCACAGTAATAAACCTGCCATAGCTCTGTGTCCTTGTAGCATATGTAACAATCAAACAGATGCTCTGTTCAGCAAGGAACAAGAGATACATAGAATAAGCTTCTGTTTGAGTTTATACTTTCCACAATTGTCGACTGCTTTAACACCAAGAGGCAGCTGTACAGATGTAGCAATCCAGTGGTGGATACTGTATTGAGCAACAAAAACATCTAGCACACAGATTCTCTTTATTTTTTTTTATTCTTATTTATTAATTTTCTACGTCCATACAAAAAGAACAGCTATGTTTACATCATCTTCACAAATTTTCCACCACATTGCACCTTAAAACCATCTCAGAATTCCCACCCCTCTGGTTGCCCCTCTGTTCCCTCACCCATAAGTCTGCATTTACCTAATATTTCCTTCTCATCTATGAATGTTTATATACCAGTTCCCATGTACTTTCCTTCCACCCCGTTATATTCCCACCAGTTCTGTTTATGTCCTTGATATCTTAAATTTATTTCCCCATATTTCTTCAAGTTTTTCCCCATTTTGTCCTCCCCAGCATAACACAAGTGTGCGTGTTAGTGTTATTCTATTCTCCTAATCCACTCCTTTACTGATGGACTTTCCTGTACTTGCCACTGCTTTGTTATTAACCATTATGCTGCATTCAGTAAATGAGGGGGTTCAGTCTATTTCTGTATTGTTTTGCTGTTTAAATCTGTATTATGGAACAAACATACCCATGGATCTCTACTAATACTGCTTCCTGTTATTTCCTGTACCAGCTGGATAACCTCCTGCCAGAACTCCTGTATTCTTGGGCATCTCCACCATAAATGTGCTATTGTCCCCTCTAGCTTACATCCTCTCCAACAAAATGGTGACTTTCTGGCTGAAATTTATTTGCTTTAATTGGTGGTATATACCACACTTAAAGTTCATCTCTATTGTTTTGGTATCTACCAACAAATCACCTGTTAACTATAGAACTTTCCTTTTCAGTCAGTCACCCCGAAATCTTTTTTCCCATTTTTCTATGTATGGCAGCATCTTTGACCCTGCCATTACAGTAAGTACAGTATTACAGTAAGATTTGGGAAATACATTGTTTGAGAGCATCCTGTGAACCAAACATTCTTTCGAATAGGAGTAGATTCTTGGCTGTAATGACACAACAAAATGTTTCAACTGATAATACCCCCATCCATCCAGCAAAGATAATCCCCATTTGTGTTTCAATTCTTGAATTGTGCCTATCCCCCCCTCCCTTCATAATCTCTTTTAATTGTACATTCCTAACCCTTATACAGTTTTTTTTCCCTCTTTTCCCGGGGGAAAATAGTTTGTTCTAATGAGGGGTATTAAAGGTGAATCATTATCTCATTTAACTTGTTTGTGAATCTTATCCCAAATCTTGAAACCGTTTAACGTCAATATACTTGTGTCTTTAGAGAATGTGCGATATTGCTGTGGAACCCAGATAACTTTACCCAATGGTGTATTACTTAATGTGCCCTCAATTTTCGCCCAACTCTTTTCACTTGAACTAACCATCCAATCTACAGTTCGTGCCAGCAGCACAGCATTGTAATACCTCTTAAAATCTGGTGTAGCTAAACCCCCATGTGCTTTCTCTTTACCTAAAACCGAATGTATCTTCGCTTTTTTACCCTGCCTTATATACTTGAGTACCATCACTTTTAGCATATGAAAATACGTTTTGTGGCAAATAAATCTGCAACATTTGAAATTTGTATAAAATTTTAGGTAATATCCCCATGTTAATGGAATGAATTCATGAGACTGGTCTTACTGAGATAGAGATAGATATAGATATATATATATATATATATATATATATATATATATATATATATATATATATATATATACACAGTTGTGTTCAAAATAATAGCAGTCAGACATCACTAACCTGATCAATCACTGTTTTTGGTAGAAATGATATTTCTACATGGCAAATAATTTACTAGCAGGTGTAGTAGAGTAATAGAAATCCAACAGTCATGACATGCATGCTGCTGATTCTGTGTAATTGAATCACTAATTGAAAGGGGCATGTTCTATTAGTGAGGTCATTCATTCATTCTTTGAAAAACAGGTGCCAATTATTGCCCTTATTTAAGGAAGGAAGGCAGCAAATGTTGTACATGCTGGTTACAGTGCATTTCTCTCTGACATTCTGAGGAAAATGGGTCATTCCAGACATTGTTCAGAAGAACAGCGTACCTTGATTAAAAAGTTGATTGGAGAGGGGAAAACATATAAAGAAGTGCAGAAAATGATAGGCTGCTCAGCTAAAATGATCGCAAATGCTTTAAAATGGCAACCAAAACCTGAAAGACGTGGAAGAAAGCAAAAAGCTACCATTCGAATGGATAGAAGAATAGCCAAAATGGCAAGGACTCAGCCAACAATCAGCTCCAGGAAGATCAAAGAAGGTCTAAAGTTACCTGTGAGTACTGTTACAATTAGAAGAAGCCTATGTGAAGCCAAGCTATCTGCAAGAAGCCCCCGCAAAGTCCCACTGTTGAAAAAAAGACGTGCTGAAGAGGTTACAATTTGCCAAAGAGCACATTGACTGGCCTAAAGAGCATGGCGCAACATTTTGTGTACTGATGAAAGTAAGATTGTTCTTTTTGGGTCTAGTGGCCGGAGACAGTTTGTCAGACAACCCCCAAACACTGACTTCAAGCCACAGTACACTGTGAAGACAGTGAAGCATGGTTGCGCAAGCATCATGATATGGGGATGTTTCTCATACTACGGTGTTGGGCCTATTTATCGCATATCAGGGATCATGGATCGGTTTGAATACATCAGAATACTTGAAGAGGTCATGCTGCCTTATGCTGAAGAGGAAATGCCCTTGAAATGGGTGTTCCAACAAGACAACGACTCCAAACACACCAGTAAACGTGCAACATCTTGGTTCCAGACCAACAAGATTGACGTTATGGAGTGGCCAGCCCAATCCCCGGATCTTAATCCAATAGAAAAACTTGTGGGGTGACATCAAAAATGCAGTCTCTGAGACAAAACCAAGAAATAGAGAAGAACTGTGGAATGTAGTCCAATCATCCTGGGCTGGAATACCTGTTCACAGGTGCCAGAAGTTGGTAGACTCCATGCAACACAGATGTACAGCAGTTCTCAGAAACAGTGCTTATACAACTAAATATTAATTAAGTGATTCAAAGGAAAGCAAAATCTTCAAACAGTTTTCAGTTTATATAGTGAATGTTTGAGTTTGTAAAGAAGAATACAAACACTGCTATTTTTTTTTTTTGAACAGTCTAATATTCACTTTTCTTCAATTTTTTTAGAGGAACAACACAAATTTGATATATTTTTCTTCATGTTTTGATTTGGAATAGAATGTGCAGTGTTCCCAATGCATTTGTGTGTATGGAAATAAAAGCTATTCGAAGGATTTTGAGCTTTATTCACTTTTTTCAACACACTGCTATTATTTTGAACACAACTGTATATAATATAATTTTTTTTTTTTTAAATAATAAAAATGATTACATGCCCTTACTCAGGACTGTATTCAACAGGGCTCTTCATTCCGGCCTGGGCACAGTTTTTTTTACGTGATGGAGCCTCACTGGGTACACTACGTGAAATGATGGTGATGATTCGAATTTGGGGCCTTCTGAAACCCAGCTGTCTTCCCGTATACACAGCCACATCAGATACACAGGATAGCATGTCTCTGCTTTTCCGTCTGCTCACCCGCCTCTGGATGTGCTGTAAGGATTGATCTTCTTCTGTGACTTATTGTATAATGCCGAGTCTACTCTGACTGTAATGTGTTTGGCATATAGGTCGGGATGAAAATCACCCCTGTGAGCCAGACGAGGCACTAATAGATGAGTGCTGCCTTCTTCCCAGCCAGCTTCTAATCCCAAACATGGATTGGTTGCCTCTGGGGAATGGATTGATCAGTCGGCTGCAGGGCAAGCTTCCTCTGCGTCTGCAGTTTGGAAAACCTCCTGGGGCCCCCAGCCATGCATCTGTGCAGTATGAAGCATATACAAGGTAGGTCTAAACAGCTCTGTTGTGAATAGTTGGGTTTGTAGAATAAAGACAGACCTTGCTATAAACTGCTGATACCCTTTTAATTTTGTCCAGGTCTCCCTCCCAACCAAAAATTGACCATCTGAGAAGATTGCATTTAGGAACATTTCCTACAGAGCCTTGCAAATCCTGTACACGGTTAGTTTGGTATTCTCTGTCTAATAGAGTGTGTTTTTTGTTTTTACTGTAGGATGTTTGTGAGCTGCATATGATAAGCACATCAAGAGAGTTCTTTGCATCCATAAATCCACTTCGGGCCTACCTTGGAACTTTAGATCATAGAGTAGAAAGCATGTACTTGACCTACCACCTCCATCCACTCCCCATGTATGGAGCTCTCTGGAATCTGGCTGAAGTGTACTACAGACAATTCAGTTGGAGATAAATTGAGACTTCTGCATTTGGCACAGTTGCTGTGTTTTCTGAGGGGCATCAAAGGAAACCTTTTGCGAGAGAAACCAAGGCTGCTATTGCTTTTTTTACATTCTAAACATGCTATTTTTCTAGCTACTCAGTTTTCCCTATTAAATACATTTTGTTTAAGTGAAGTATGGTCAGATAAGGATGTCTGATTTTAATCTGGGTTTCCTAATGTTCCTAGTCATTGAAAAGGTTTGGGAGTGTATTGTGTGTATTAGCTAGATAACCAGCATCAAACGAAGGGAATAAGATTGCTGCACATGCATACCTACAAAGGAAAGGTTTTTTTAGCTCACCGATTTTACTAGGTGCCTGGAATTGCTATTTAAAACATTCATGTACCCAGTGGTGACCCAGAAACATTTCCTGAGATCCCAGTTTGTGTATTCCTTCCTGTACTTGCATAGGCGTGTGCCTGGGCACACTACAATCGCCCCATGCACATTAGCATTATTGCCCTGTTTGCCAGCAGGGAGATGGGGAAAGATCTCTGTGCCATAAGAGAAGTGCTTCCACACTCCTCTCTTATTGTGCTGGCTGCGGGGGGGGGGGGGGATCAATATGCTGGTGTATGTACGTGTATGACATACGTTGTGACCTGCCATTGTTAGTTTTATGCCAAGCAGTGATGCTATCTGGCCTGTTCTGGTTTTTAAGGTTTCTAGGTAATGGGTAACACAACTGCTTGTTGTGAAGTCCAAAATAAAGAGCTGTATTTTGGGGGATTTCGTTTTGCATTGACTACCCCTTGTGTGCTTCGCAGTGGAACAAATGTCCAGGATCTGATTTAACTGGGACCCCTCCCCCTCACCAACAAAAAATGCAGATATCTTTCTAATACCAAAAGAATGTAGTGAACACCCTAAATTAAAATCTGTACAAGATCAAAGACTGCAATTGCACAGACATTTGGAAACAGTCTAGAAAAACGTCATCCAGTAGATGGCAGCTGCAGCTCTCAATATAGAAATTTGAAGAACGTTCTGTCATATGTGATCCACTAGGGGGCACATTTAGGTCAGTCTATTATTTATTTTTTTTTTTATTTTATATTTTTTTTTTAAACAGGTGCTCATTTAGAGCTGAACCCCAGGCAGATAAAAACACTAATTAGTGTACTTGTGAATTTATTAAAATAATAAAGTATATTTTTAAATGCAACTAGTGTAAGTTCCTGAATCTGACTTACAGAACTCTGGTTCTGGCCAGCTTAGGAGATTGTTTAAAAAAAGGACTGGATTTTTTCCTAGATACACATACTATAACGGGATACTAGTATTTATAGGTGAAGTTGATCCAGGGAATATTCCCCTGCTGGAGCAAATTGCATCATGCTTTATTATTGTTTTTTTTTTTTTTTTTTTTTTTTTTTTTTTTTTTGGTTTTTTTTACCTTCCTTTTGAAGCTTGTGTGTGTTTTTTGTTTTTTACTGGACGGACTAGTCCCTCTTTTTTTTCCAACCAGATTAGCTATGTAACTATGCCTGGAGGAAGTGGTAGCTATTTGGGGAACCAGTCCATGTGCTGCATTCATGCACACTGAAAAGGGACATGCTGATAATCTCAGGAGTCTATTTCTGCTCCAATACTGTCGCATGCTAGGACAGGGGACTAGTCCATATTGTATAACCGAAGTAGGCAAAAGTACTTTGACAGAAAGAAATGCACCCATTTGTGTACTTCAACTGTAGTTTTAGACATTTGCTTTCAAAAAAAAAAAACTGTTTTAAATTTCACATTAAATTAAAAAGTGCACATTGAAAAATCCTTTGAAGTTTGACAAAAATACACATAAAACCACACAGACATACAGCATATTTGTATGATTTGCCCATTTGCATCACTTGCGATAGTTGTAAGGCATACCAGAACAGCTGAAACCTTGCATCCCTTCTTTCCCTTTGAAACGTCTCTCTTAGACTTGAGAAAGGTAATATGTATTGAGTTCCACTTGATATTATATCAAATCATTATTGTAATTAATAGTAAAACTGTTTGTTTTGTTTTTTTTTATCTGAGGATAAAATTAGTACTGTCATTTTAATTTCCTTTTTATAGAAGAAATTTTCTCTCATTTTTGCTCAGGTGTGGCTGTGTAACAATGTTGAAGTCCCCGAATAAGGCAACTGCAGTGAAGCAGTGGGAGCAGCGTTGGATAAAAACCTGTCTTTGTGGAGGGCTTTGGAGAAAGATGCCCCATACTTACTCTTGATATTTCTCTTGCAAAATTCAAGCATAGCAATGGTTTGGGAAACTAAAGAAGTGGAATATGAGCCTGTGCCCTTTTCCCCACTTCTTGATAGTATGTGTCTCCTACCAGACAAACTACTTCTACAGTGGAGAATGACAGTCAAGGAAACTGAGAGAAGCTTTTTGTACAGAAACTAATATCTCTAGAATTCCTATGCAGCCATGTTTGTTTGTGTTTTTTTATCTAAAAGAACACCATCCTGTAAATGGCAGTTGAACTGTAAATAAGAACTGCTAACCGAGAATACAATTGTGAACCTAAAGAATGAAAAGGAAACTCAGATTAAGGGAGCATAAAGGTGAGCTGGCTTCATTTTGTTGTGCCACTAAATTGTCCACACTATGGCCAACATTACTGACCTGTGTAAGAAACTTACTTCCATGAAAAATATATTCTCACAACCTACCTGTTCCACCTCGTAGATTCAACTTGCCTTTTCAGCATTTGCCTACTTAGCAGTTGAGATTGCACAGAATGTAGATCACAAACTGTGAGCACAATTGTTGGACGAGTTATATTTTTGAGGATTAATTTCATTATTGAACAACTACAGTGCTCTCGGTCAATCCAAAATGTTAATAAACCTCAAACCTGAATATTTAAGAAAGTAAAAGTGAGGTTTTTGCTTTTTTAGGAGAATATTTTTGTGTGCGCAATTATTGGGCAGCTATTAGTGTGCAGAATTATTATGCAACTAAATGAAAAACAAAAATGTCCAGATTTCACTAGTTTTTCATCTGTTAAAGTGAGAATAATTAACTCAAAATTTACAAAGAGTTCTGACATTAAAAAAAATATATATCCACCCTTCTATCCAATAACAGTCATAAGCTGTCCATTCATGGATTCTGTTGATCTGTTGACTATCAACTTTTTGTGCAGCAGCAACCACAGCCTCCCAGTCACCTCAGAGAGGTGTACTGTTTTCCTTCACTGTAAATCTCCCATTTAAGAAGAGCCCACAAGTTCTCAATAGGGTTTAGGTCAGGTGAGGAAGGGGGCCATGTCATTATTTGTTCATATTTAGGGTCTTTAACTGGCTAGCCACAAAGTGGAATACTTTGATGCATGTGATGGAGCATTGTCCTGCATGAAAGTTGCAGACTTTTTCCTGTACCACTGCTTCAAGAAAGTGTCTTCTAAAAACTGGCAGTAGAATTGGGAGTTGATTTTGAGTACATCTTCAACCCGAAAAGCTCATCTTTAATAATAACTGCCCATACCAGTACCCCACCTCCACCTTACTGGCGTATGAGTGAAAGTGGAACTCTGTGCCCATTACTGATTCAGCCACGGGCCCATCCATCTGGTCTGTCAAGAGTCACCCTCATCTTATCAGTCCATAAAACCTTTGAAAAATTTGCCTTCAGATATTTCTTGGCCCAGTCTTGATGTTCAACTTGTGTGTCTTGTTCAGTGGTGGTCAGGTTTCAGTCTTCCTTACCTTGGCCATGTCTCTGAGCACTGAACACGTTCTGGGTACTCCAGGTAGCTTGCCGTTCTGAAATATGACAGCACTGGAGGATAATGGGCTCCTGGTAGCTTCACGTTTGATTCTTCTCAAATCTTTGGCAGCTAATTTTATTTTCTCAACCAGTTTCTTGCAACGTTGGATGGCTCTGTAATCACGCCCCAATATCTTAGCAATTTCAAGAGTGCTGAATCTTTCTGAAACACTTTTTTTTTTTTTTTTTTTTTTTTTTTTTTTTTTTATAATGTTACTTTTCAGAGTCCATAAATCTTTTTTTATGGCCCATTTTGCCTGAGGAAATGGAGTTGCATAATAATTATGCACACCTTCATATAGGGTGTTGATCTCCTTAGGCCACACCCTCTCTGATTACACAAATACACATCACCTGATATGCTTAAATCCAATAAGCATTCGAGTTTATACAGCTTAGAGTTGGACAATATGCATAAAAATGATGATTTGGTCAAAATACTCACTTGCCTAATAATTACACACACAGTGCATGTTTGAAGGTACATGTCAAAAAAAATTAGTGATAAAGTTAGTACAGAAGTAAAGTGCAGCAATGCCCTACCATATAAATGTTCACTTTCCCTGCCTATGAATGGCACAGTGTTAAGTACCAGGATGCTGACTTTTCGTCTGACTAATGGCCATAGGGAATAATAGCAGTCTGCCCAGCATATGTGCTGAACTGGAGATGGAGAGAAGTCCTTTTTTAGTATTATTTAATGTATGACTTTATGTACGATTAATGCAATTTGCTGTTTTTTATTTAAAAGAAAAGGAATCTTAAGATGATGATGTGTAAGGACATAGGTGTTTTGCTTTATGATGGGTGAATTTTATCAAGCAAAATTTTGAAGGCTGTCTTTGCTAACTTCTGAGTTGCTGTTCTGGGAAAAAAAAAATAGAATTTCTAAACTGGGCTTTAAGAGTGGGAAAACAATTTTTCCAAAAAGTCGGTACCTGCATTACATCACAGGTGTTCCCTAAGCCATGGGATACTGTATATACAGACTTGTTTCCAGGAAGCTGGTATTCTATTAAAGTCTAGGTTTGTTGCAGGTATTTCCAGGGTTGACCAGTGCAATAATTCTGATATCTAAAGGGTTGGACACAGAATTTTGTAAAGGTCTGCTCTTACTTAAGCCAGCCATAGATGGATTGAATCTCAGTCTGTTAAGCAGGGACCAGACGAAATTCAGTCCATCTATGGGCAGGCTGGTTGTACTGAAGTTTATAATTGTTAGCAGTGATCATCGTGTTCTGCCAGCAGGGAAGACTCCTGCTGGCAGAACACAATAGCGCTGCAGGAGAGATTCCCCCATCAGCACTGACTGTGTAATGGGAGAATCAAGCAATTTTCTTTCCTTCGACCCGTGGTGGAAGGAAAGAAAATTGTATAATCTATGGCTTGCTTAAAGCGGAGCTACACTCAATTTAACCCCTTGGCGCCGGCGCCTCCCGGCCCTTTAAGGGTTCCATAAGCTGAGGCAGGGTTTTAGGGTCATGTGACCTCCGTGATTCGCTGTCACGGCAGTCACGTGATCAGGAAAGGTCCCGATCAAGAGAGGAGATTGGGACCTTTCCGTGAGTATTGAACGCATGTGCTGGGAGCGTGCAGGGCGCGCGCTCTCAGCACATATGTGTTTTTTTAATAGAACGCAAATGTGCAGCCGCTCGGCGTCTAGGCCCAGACGCCGGGAGGCCGCACATTTGCATTAGGCCGGCGCCAAGAGATTAAGCACCACAAAGTGTTGTTTGATTCATTTTTAATATTCAAAGCAAACTCCCCCATCCATTCATGTCTCCATGCTTTATTTTGCTGAGAAATCACTCTGAAAAACACTCTCCTAGCATTTCTGGATGTGGCCATCTTGAGTAAGGGCAGATGATTCATATAGCATTGATTTCATGGAATCCAACCTGCCTTAGTTCAGGCATACAAGCAGGAGGGTGTACTTTAACTGTAAAAACCCTCCTGAAGACTCCTGGGATGTATGACATTTACTTGTTGAAAACAAGTAAATATTATACACGTTCCTATCTATTTACTAATGCTAGCAGCATAAGGATTAAAAATAGTCAATGTTGATTAATAGAGTGAAGTTCCACTTTAAGTCTTCTGTGTTCAGACTTCACATCCTTCCCCTTTTTAAAACAAAATCTAAGACTTGGCCATACATTATATCATTTTCTTGTACAATTTTCCTTTAGATTTACCAAAATCATATAACATAACATAGTGCCTTGAAAAAATATTCATACCTAAAAACGTAAATATATTTTATGTGATAGACCAACACAAAGTGACACATAACTTTGAAGTGGAAGGAAAATGATAAATGGTTTTCAAAATTTGTTACAAATATCTGAAAAGTGTGGTGTGCATTTGTTTTCATCTCCCTGCGTGAATACTTTGTGAATACTACCTTTACTGTCCCCCTTCTGAAAATGCTAGCTGACTGACTGTCATGTTGCAGCAGTGACTTCAATTATTGACTTGTAACAAAAGTATAGATCAGGGAAGTCATAGCTCTGGGACTTTGATAGAAGTCATGCATCACAGCCAGACCACTAACATTTTCAACAAAATTTCAGCAGTGGCAGCTTCCATACTTTCACAGGACAGATCTTCTTTAGGATCCAGAGTGACAACATAAGTATGCTTTGCTGATGCAACTTTAAACCTTTGTAGTGAAGGAGAAACGTTGTGTAGGATTTTGTCTTTCCTGCTTTATGGATGTTACATGGTGACTTTTTATAATAAATTTATTCTGTAAACCATTGTTTTTTTTCGTATGTAGAGACACGTGGTTGCACTACTGACCACCTTTTGAAGATTGTAGGTGCTTGGCTGTCTCTGACCCTAGTAAACATTTCAAGGCCATGGTCAATTGTTAAAGTACCATTCGTGCATACTTGCGTATTTTTGCCTTATGGTGACTCAGAGTTCAAACCTGTGGGTTAGCGGCTTTCAGGGAACATTATTCTGCGAGGACATTTTTTCACCATCCATGCTGTTAAGTGTAAATTGGGGAAACAATTGATTTTTCTTGTTCAGCCAATACACAGATCAAATTTTGGCTGGTTCCTGCTGAAATTTGAACCAGGTCCATGGCCCCTGGGCATCTCCCTATAACCCTACCCTACTCTGTGGGGCCTTGGGTTTTTGCTAGTGTCCTAAGGTAATGGACTTCTTCCCCCTCACAGAGGTTCACAATAGTGTATTATTTTATCTTTGATTCTTCAATCAACTCTTCACTGACTTCTAAAACAACATTTAAAATTGCTATTTTAGAGTAATCTTATTTTCACATACCTGACCTTATTAAGATGCCTGTTCAAAAAGAACAATAGAATATACTTAAAATTCATATTTCAAATTTATCATTATTTTACCATTGCTGCAGGAAAAAATACAATATAGCATAGTTTTCTACTTAAGCTCCACCTATTATACTATAATAATCACCATGTTATG